CCCATAGTCCAAAAGACTGGCAAAAAAAAATTTGTCCTGGCAAATGTTTGTTGAAATAAACAGCTTCAGAAATGTTTGGGCCAACAATAAATCAGGTCAGACAAAAGAATACCAGCCAACTGACACAGCAGTGCCTTTCCTGACTGCATGTATTGTGACCAGCCCTGACTTGGCAGGGAGGGTGGCTGGCACTGACGAGCTTGATGAGTAAATTTTGATTTGCATGAACAGAATGCATAGCTGTAAGGCCATTATTGCTTGCTAATGTTTACTAAATAAAACCTTCCTGTTGAGAAATACCTAAAATTAGAAAATAGGTAGCTTATGCTGTTTTTACATTCAGGATGGATGGGATGGTTATAAAGTGTGGTAACCAAAACCATCAAGCCTGGTTGTTTTGGTTGTTGGTTTTGGGTTGGTTTGGGTGGGGGTTTTTTTGGTTTTTTTTTTTGGTTTTGTCCCAGTTTTAAGAGCTCTTTATTTTACTCTTTTGTGGGGTAGAGGGCTGACTGATTCTTCCAGGAGATTCCAGGGAACTGGAGTCACCTAAGCAAACGGCTGAACTTGCGTGCCCAGAGGAGTCCTCTGTGCTGCAGGATCCTGTCGCAGTCCTCTGGTCCTGCATACTAAATAGTCTTCTACAGTATTGCAGTTTGTGTTATGAAGCTTGAGAAAGATTTTTCAACCCAATATAGCACCCACTGGTGGAGTAGTTTACTGATTGACTTTATATAGGGAAACGAATGTGTACAGTGAGACAAGGGACAGAAGAAAAACTGAAAGTAAATATTAATTTTTGACTGCTGGAGTCAGATTGAATTGTTGTAGGAACTTGTTGGAGACACATCATTTCCTCATGCATTCTTTTCACTATAAACAGTATTTGCTCTACTGTTGTTTTGGTCTCACCCATTTTTTTGGACTTTTTGATATTAAAACTGTGTTGGTGTTAATCTGGCATATTTAGGCTGGTTTACTACCTGAGGTTTATAAATCTGTCCTGAACAGGAAATTTCTGGTTTAGTGTCTGTTTGAGTATCAGTTGCTGAATGCAGTGTAGTTGTGGTTCCTGAGGGCTTCTGCCTCCACCCCTCCCCAGACACTATTTGTGTCACAGACCTTTTGTCTTTGGAGGCACAGAAACAATGTTTCAGATATTTTGTAAACAAATAATACAGTGATGGAATACAAAGAAATCTCAGCTGGGTGTAGCCAGACCTTTGCTTTTGAGAGTACAAATAACCAATCTCGTGCTTGATTGCATTATTTTAGTGATAGTGTTCTCCTGGATGGTATGATAAACATCTAACTCAGCTCAGCGGTTGTTTTCAACTTGCATTTCCCTTTGAAGCTTACTGCTTCTGTTTCAGACTTGAAGAGGCTTGTGTCCCTTAAGGTTTTTTGCACTCTCACTCTCCTTCGCCTCCCACTTATTTTGTTTTTTTCCCCAACTCTGTTGGTCTGGTAAGATATTATCAAGTCTTAATACTAAGAAACTGCATTTTGGGATCAAATATGCTTTAATTAGTCTTCTGTATGATTCTTTTTTTTTTCCCTTGACCTAACCTGTAAGGAACCTCAAGAGACTGCTTTATCCTGTAATGACAAGCCTGTAGTTGTGAGTCACACTGAACTCCCTGGGATAATTCACGCAGTTTGTCGTATGCCTCTCATGCACTCCTTCATGAGGACTCTCAAACTGGGAGTAGTCTGTAGATTGGTTTGGATGGTTTCCTGCCTTGTTTCTCTACTCCTACTTGTTAAATGTCCAAAAGTCTGCCCATCGCGTCAACAAAAGGACCTGGCTGTGGTGTATGTGCATGGGTATTCCTGATTATATGATTAGGAACTCCTTTCTCTCTAGCCACATGTGGACATGTGTGTGTCAGAAGACAGGAACACCTTCATCTTAGGCAAGAGATGCAGTTCTGGTCAAATGGTGCACTTGTGCAGACCATCTCTAGTAGTTCACTACAATATTCATGCCCTTCTTGTGAGGACTCCATATATTCCGGTTAGACAGAGACGGCTGATGGGGAAGGCTTGTGGCATATAGCCTTCAAATGCCTCCGTAAAAGCCTATCTGTTCCAGTCCTGCCGATAGAAATCATTGGTCCCAAGTGTCTGCCTTTGGAGGTTTGTAAGAAAAGATGAGACACGACCTCCATAGACTACCTGCTCCTTAAGCATTTTGAAACTTAGGCCTACATATGAGATGCATTTCTTAATGAACTAATTGGAATTACCTTTATCTAATATCCTGTTTCCTGAAAATAACGTTACTATAATTTTCAGATGTGTTTTCTATGTTGTCTGATCCACTTTGGGTTTGTGGGTGTTGATACAGCACTACTGTCTTTCTTTTTTCTCCCTTACTCCCAACAGCTTTTGTTCTTGGACTGGTGCAGTACAATTGAGGCTTTGATAGATTAAAGCCCAAAGGGACCATTAACATTATATGGTTTCATTCTGACAGTTACAGAATTTCTCCAAGCGTTAGAAGGTGGCAATAGCCACGCTGACTTAGACTAAAGCTATGTCTAACTCGGTGGCTGAGCTCTGATAACTGCCAAAAGTGAATAGCTAGAGAAAGGTAAAAATGCTAAGTTGGACATATCTTCTGAATCCTTTAGCTATGGGGAGTTCTTGAGCTGTTGCAGGTTACATTGGTTTAGTACAATGCTTAGTAGTTGAGTAGAGTAGTTGAGTGGAAAAAAAAAGTTCTGGAGGCAGGTTCAAAATGAATTACATAAATTCAAAGACAGCAGGTCTGTAAGCAGTTACTGAAGTGCATAGGAAGAACTGGTGCAGCATGTGTGGGTGCTGGGTGACTGGACTGCAGAAAGTGGCCAGTCTTGACTAGTCTCCTAAGCGGCGGCGGCCACTGCTGCGTAAGGCGCAGGCTAGCTGGGCCCACAGCCTGGCCCATTAAAGCATTTATTGTTTTGTTAGTAACCCACGGGGTAACTTAGAACTGGTCCATTCTCTCCTTGTTTCCATGTAAACTTGGGTCAGTGTTGTATTTTGGCAAGAAATTCCACAAGTCTCTTACAGGAAGAATCACCCTTTTCTGTTTTGATCTGGCTCCTGCTTGGTCTGTTTAATCATCTGAGGTGTGTTAAATCTAACTGAAAGACATTGCTAAGCAATTGATTCTACTCGCTATTTTCATGCCTTTCATGATTCTTTAGTATTCTTTTGTATCCCCTATAAGTCATCCATTATCCAAGGACTCAGCTCAGCTTCCGCTGTTATGGCTTGCATGGATTCAAGCAAGCAACAACAATCCATGCTTCAAGCCTGGATTACTTTCCCCATTAGGTTTTTAACTCTTAGCTATAGTAAACTTTTAGGTCAATGTGTGTTTGTTGTGAACTACCTCTGCTACTAATGTGTATGTAATGAATCATAGCCACATTTGGTACCAGCCTCTTGACATTTTTTTTTTTTTCCTTTTGCTGTGTTTGAGTCCTCAGATAAAAAACATTATGTATAAATGTAAATGAAGATAAAGCCACAACTGTTTCTGTAATAAAGTACATAAAGGTTTCTTACTTTAGGAAAACCCATTCTACGCAACAGTAGACTTCTGTGTGTCCTGTTACGGATAGGGCCTCTTACTTCCCTCCAGCAGGAAAAAACATGCAAAATGCCAGTGAATGGTAGATGAAGTTTTTGCCTTCGTCCACTTCCTGTCAGGGTGTTTCCTTTGACCACGTATGAGCTAGTCAGAGTTAAAAAAATCTGATATTTGACATCTAGGGAGATAAAGCCTGAAGCACAGTGGTCCTTAGACGGCTTGCTTTTGTACTTGATAACAATCACATGTAATTGGTATGTAGTCCCCCCACCTGACAGTAGTTAATACATTTGCTGTACTTTGTTGATTCCTTAGAAAAATTTAGCTGCCTCTAGCCTAAGTATAATATCTTGTAGCCAGAACAAAATGGCTCTGATTTGAGACTGTTCTCTGAATAACTCTGCATCGATTTGCACTGTACTTTAATTGTCTGTATTGACCTGTTTGTTATCATGGCCATAGACAACACAGAATTGCCATTCCTTTTTGCTCAGTGGGGAAGTGAGTCAGCTTGTATTAGATCCTCTTTTTCTTTTTCATAAGCTAGACTTGCCTGAATTTGAAAGCTTTTTACCACAACCTGCAACGCAGCATTCTAGTGCATGTGAAACTTTAATTCTGTGCACCAGTACCTCTTCCGTAACAGAACGGAAGAGCTTGTGGTTTAACCTGTGCCATGTATGCAATAAGAACTATTAAAAAAACAAAAGGGGGTGGGGGGGGTGGGAGGTAGGGCAGGATTTAGAGGTGCAGAGAAAGAGGCATGTACTGTAAAAACCATCACCCTATATGTGTGCTTGTTGGAGAATTTTTCTGATTAGGCTTAGTTCCACAAAATAGTTTAGGTATTCAGCTTCTTTATCAGGACTGGCATGCTTAAAGACAGACCATTGTAGATCTAGGCTTACATGCTGAAGATGCTAAAGATTTGACTGACAAGTGAGTTAAAAGCTTGCTGACATTTGCCAAAAATCTTTTAAATTCTGTGAATATACAGAAATGGTGTTGAATTTGTATCAGGTGAAAAAATATCTAATGAGCAATCCAAATCTGCTTTTGTTGATACTTTTTTAAAATATATGTAATTATCAAAATGGTGGTTGATGAAATGACATAAGAAAAAGAAGATATTTTAATTCAGAAACCTTGGGTATTGGTGTAGAGGGTTTTTTTTTCCTTTTAAAAGTACTTGCTTGTCTTTTGGGGGAAATGAGTTTACATAAAACAGCATGCAACTTTACAAGTAAACTGTTAGCAAATGCTAGTATAACTCTTCTTTTAAAACAATTTCTTTGTTCTAAGCAGGCCCAGCTTGCACAGGAACTAGAATTCAGTGCAGCTGAATCCCATCAAAGACAGGTTTGTAATGTGATTGGGTGTTAATTAAGTGTGTTAATGTAGTTTCTTCTTTTACTTTTTTCAGAAAATCAAGATGGCCTGCATCAGGTAGTACATGAACGCCTGGGGGAGTTGCTACGTGTTTTAAAAGCAGTGATAAATAAACATCAGACTCTAAACTCAGTTGATATTCTTAGTGCTGCAGGAACAGTTATTGCAAAAGTAAAAGGTAAGGAATTACTACTACCTTTCATATTCTTGGAAAAATGGAATTAGTGACATGATTGCCTATGACTTGGAGTTACAGATAGGATTCTGTCTATACAGAAGAAACTTTTTTTTTTGAGTAATACCTTAACATGTGTTTAAAAATACCTTTGGTAAGTGAATAGTAATATTAAATAGCTTGTTCTGCTGTTGATGTAATAAAATTCTGCTTATAGAATACAATACTGCAAACCCACACTGAATTCCAAAAGCACAAGTCTTTGATCTTGGGATTTCTTTACCTGTGTATCGCAGAAACATGTCACATAATAATAAACCTTGTATTTATCCACTTAGAGATTTGCCAAAACTCTGTGATTAGTTCTGTGAATTTATAGGGAAGGTGATGTGTTTATAATCAAGTGAAGAAATACCTAAATGACCAAATCTGGATGGTCTAACAGTTATAAATTACACAAACAGATCATAAGCATGGTAAAGGTGTCAACAGCAACAAAACAAGCCTTGCAGACATACAGTGTTAACAGTTTCTATTGCTGGCCTTTGCTGCTGCAGTTGTGTCAGATAAATGCAAATAGTGAAGTGCATAATTGCTCCAGCTCCACAAACCATAGCTGTTTCTTCTCTGTGTAGCCCTAGAGTGCAGCTGTCCTTACTCTGGAATAAGTCCATTGTATTACTGTGGAACCAGTACAGTTTCTTCCATGTGGCATGGAGTGTGCTTTGTAAATCATGTGGAATGTCTTCCTTCAGAGACACATAATTTTAGTTTTTCTCCTTGTTCTTGAGTTTTTCCCTGTCTTTTCTAATTATCTTAGTATGTCTGAACATAGACTGCTGATTCAGTAAAGTAAGAATAACAGTTAAAATGGTAATATGTTTAGATGCCTGATTCCTATATCTTGGATTTTTCTGAGCTTCTTAAGGACTCTTTCTGTTGATAGTTTTGGTGGTTTGTTTAATCTTGGCAGGTGCTAGCATCCCACCTTGCGTTTTCTTCCTGCTACATGTAGAGTTTCCCATAGATCAGTCCCTGGTATTTGAAATTATTGCAAGACGGCAACTTCTGAATTTGCTTTAGAGTTGTACATAACAGTAGAAATGCAGAGGGTATCCATGAGAGGTTGCTGTTTGTCTTGTTGAGCTCAGGAAGTACACATATGCAATGGTATTTACAGAATCATAGAATCATTTGGGTTGGAAGGGACCTTAAAAACCATCTAGTTCCAACCCCCCTGCCATGGGCAGGGACACCTTCCACTAGACCAGGTTGCTCCAAGCCTCATCCAGCCTGGCCTTGAACACTTCCAGGGATGGGGCATCCACAGTTTCTCTGGGCAGCCTGTTCCAGTGCCTCACCACCCTCTCTGGGAAGAATTTCTTCCTGATATCTAATGTCTGCCCTCTTTCTATTTAAACCCATTACCCCTTCTCCTCTCACTACAGGCCCTTGTAAAAAGTCCCCTCCACCTTCCTTGTAGTCCCCTTCAGGTACTGGAAGGTGCTATAAGGTCTCCCTGGAGCCTTCTCTTCTCCAGGCCGAACAAGCCAAATTCTCTCAGCCTGTCCTTATTGATGAGTATCTGTTCTTTGAATAATTATTTTAGGATTTCTTAGTTTCTCTTGGTAGTGAGCTGAAGAAATAACTCCCAGTAATAAGCCTTTTTTTGGCAATACACATATTCACAAATACTTCTTAACTTTTCCCACCCAAACAGATTTTAGTTCATATAATTAATGTTTCCACTTGAAATAAGCTACCTGCTGACACTTGCATTGTAGAGTTAATTCACTGTTAATATACTGAGTTTATAAGGAGCTACAGTCATGGAGGGGATGGCATTATTTACTATGTGGAAAGAAAAATTACTTTTAGGAAATTGCTGTGCTCTTGTAATATTACAGAGTTCTGAAAGTAACTCCATTCTTTGTAGAAATTACCCTTGAAACAAAAGCAGTATAGTCATGTTTTCCAGTTTTCTGCCAAATGTGCTCAAGTGGGTCGAGTTGTAAGATGGTACTTCAGGTATATCTAAAAAGCCTGTGTTCAGCCGTAGCTCACTTGAACTATCTTAAATATGATCTTGAATGATGAGAAACCTCTCAAAGAAAAAAAGCATGAAAGGAGTTGATTTTGTGATGGTAACAGTTGTTGGAACTGAGCTCAAGTTTTTAATTTTTCCTCCCCTCATGGTTACATTACTCTGAATAATTTTCTCATTGGCTGTGGTTTGACAGTACTGAAAATCAAGCTTTGGATCCTGTAGCAGGAGTCCTAAAGTACAGCAATGATACGGTGCTGATGTAATAAGAGTGTTCTTTCAGCTGGAATAGATAGATATGTGTTTTCTGATGGAGTAGAAGGTTATGGCATGCAATTGCTGTTCATAGCATTCTCAGTAATTTCTCACTGAGTTACTCATTTGTCTTATAAGCAGGATATGTTCTGGACCTAGTACAGAGAGGCTGGCATAAACTCTCTGGCTGTTCTTCGGCTAAAGCAAACACGAACTTGCTCTGTGGCAAATTTGTCATTCCTGTAATCCAGCTCTCTGTGACCTGGTGTTGTGGAGTTCCCAAGCTAATTGCAAAGAAAGGGAGCTCCAGATCACACTAGAGAATGTCGTCTCAGTCAGACCTGCCTCAGTATTTGTGGCCTCTTACGAAAGTACTTGTATCTAGCAGAAAATTTTAGTAACACCTATCAGTGTTTGCTCAGCCATGTACTGTATTCCTCACATGTCTGGAGATGGAAACAAGTTACAGAGCTTCAGCTCTTTCCAACTGGTACTTTGGTCTTACTTCTCTGAGAACAGCAGGACCCTTGCTCTATGGGAATGGCCTACCTCACCTCAGCATAAGCTGTGGCAAATGTAAAGGCAGTTTGCCTTTAGCACCTCTTTGGTTTTTACAGCTGTGTGAGGATCATAGTGCTCCATGTTTACTCAAACTGAAGTATAGGACTGCTGGAACTGGGGAAGCTGAAATAAATATACAGCATGTTGTGGTGCATTGTAAGCTTATCAGACCTCAGGTTTGCTTATGGTGGCCTGTCTGCAACACGTACGTTCACAGGTTTTCAGATTTGGCTATTTCACTAGAAGTAATATCACTTTTGAATAAACAGGAAGCTACAAGAATGTGAGGAGCTGGTAGGACAGAACCAGTATGCTTTTTGTGTTTTCCCAGACTGTGTTAATGTGACATTATGAAAGAAGTTCATCTGACTCATCTGTTTCTGGTCATTGGAGAACAGAACTATAAAAAGATGTGGAAGCACTCTGTATCTGTAGTCAGATTTATGACTACGAAGATTAACCTGGCATGGAAAACTTCTGATGTTTGTTTAAGAGAGGATGAAATAAGCTGGGGGGGTTTACATGTGATTCCTTTTCTCTCCCACTCCCACCCCCCCCTTCAGAAATAGATGCATAACTGGTTTAAGTTCTAGAAAGACCTTTTTGAATCTTTACATAGCACCAGGGTTTCGAATCTAGTTTGTGTTTGGAAGTTCATATAGGGGCAAATTATTATTTTAACAAATGACTGCAGTCATAGTAGTTTGGAAGTCATATAGTTTGGAAGCAGTGACTGTCAGTGACTCTGTCTTGTGAGTATGACAAGTTGCACTGTGATTTAAATGTGATGTCCAGTGCAGACAGGCCACCCCCTTTAAATGACTGCAAGTGGAAGTATTTTGAATGCGAGCAAAAAATTAGAGTGCTAGTGCCCCTCCTTCAAGCTTCTGAGCCGTTTTTCAGGTCCTGAAGTAGGAATGATATGTGTTTGTAGTTCTGCTTCGGATGGCTAATGCTTTTCCTTTTGGACAAATTGAAGGAAAAACTATAGGTTGTTATCTTAATCTTGCTACAGAGAATGAATGTGATGCTTGGCAGAACAGGTAATGTCAGACTCTTCCGTTTCAAACTAAGGTTGCAGGAAAGCGTAGGGGGGGGGAAAAAACATCTTTCTCTGGTTATATATGGTTCACCAGGCCTTTTTGCTTGGACTCCACTACTTAGGCATGGTTACTCGATTGCTTTGTGAAGAGTGTCTTTTAAATGACACATCGCTTTGTCTCAAAGAATTGAGACTTACTGAAGAGTCTTGCCTGGAACCTGTTTAGACTCCTGTTTCTGGAAATCACTTCCCAGTCTGGCACACCATCACACTCACAGTTGTTGTTTTCCCACTCAGAATCTTTAAATAGTTGATGGACACGGAGTACATGGTTCTTCTGATCCCATGCTGAATTCAAGTTTGTACTGTTCTTTTGCTCTAAATTGCATGTTTTGCCTTAACTGAATCACGAATGCAGATTCCTGGTAAAGCAGAAAATTTCTGGTAGAAATTCCCGTTTTAAATATGCATTTTTTCTAATAGTTCTGCATCAAATATAAATCCCTCTAGCAAGGTGAACTAATTTTAGTTTTGTTGGTGCATCTGTGATGTAAATGTATTGTGGAGGGAGTAGGAAACAGTTCCTCAAACTTGTCTTGTTGGCATCTAGCTAAAGTTGGAGAGGCTGCCAAAGTTGGTAGTAGTACAGGCTGATGAAATTATATGGCACAGAGAATTAAAAGTAGAACAGTGGGGCCTGGACTGCCTGCTGATCCTTTTTAGCTAGTGGGATCCTGACAACACTCTTCTGCCTCTTTCCAGTCTGCATCCTATTGCTCTTTACTCAAGGTCTTCCACCTGTTTCTCCTCCACATATTTTTAAAGATGAGAGGTAATAGGTATAGGTCTTCATTTTGGGAGAGGGAGTGGTTTTTGGTCTTGGTTGGGGTTTTTTTGTTTGTTTGGGCTGTGGTTTTGGTTTTGAAATAGTTCTGAAAGGTTCTTGAACACATTGTTGAGAGTTCAAAGACAGAAAGTTGGTTGCAGAGATAGTTCCAACAGGTCAGCCAGTTGCTTACCTATGTAAAAGTCAGATAGTAAAGTATGGATTGAAGATGTATTCCTGTCCATGGAAATAGATGGTAGTGTTACCCTGTCTGTCTGTTAGGTATGAGAAAATTGACCTGCAAAGAGTAAAATCTGTAAGCTGTTGTTTGAACTTGTCCAGGCTCTGTAGAGAGCTGGCAGGGTACCTTTGCTGCTGCCAGTCCTGCATGTGTCTGTGGGGAGGGGGAAGGAGGAAACAAGTGAACTGCAGACTCTGGCATGGCTGTGACCCCTGGGTTTCTAGGCTTTGCTGTCTTGACTTGACTGGAAGGGGACACGAGAGCATTGCAGAAGCTTGTGTGCTGTGGTTTCTGTGAGCTGTCTAAGCACTGTCTTTTAAAGGCCCTGGTTGCACTTTGGTCTTGACAGCTGACAGCCTATTCTTCATAGTTTCAGAAGCATTGCTAAAATGTCCCCCAGGTGCTGCTTCAGCTTCTGGGATTCTGGCTTCCAAAACCCCCGTGGCTGTTGCTGGTCACCCAGCCTGTTCTGTGCTTGATTCAGAAAGCTTTTGATAGCATGATCGAAGAGCTGAAACTTGGCAGTGCCCTGCAGCATTTTGATGAGGTTGCCAAACCCACCTCAGTTTACAGACAGCTTTGCTAGGTTTGGAAATACCGAGCTACGTTAATTCAAGGTAGGCTTGCATTTTGGGTACTGGATTCTGAATTTTAATGTTTTGCTATTGTATGATGTTTTTAAAGTTCATTATGTGCCATCTGACGTCTTACTTAAAAGCGTCGTTAAGCTGTATACTCGCTTTGAAATCTGTAGAACTATAGATAGATAGTTGTCATTTCCAGACATGGAAAGATTACTATAGTTCATTGTTGTCAGTAGCTATTGTGTGCAGTCAGGATGTCCTGGGGAAAGAGCGTGCATGGTTTAAAGTTGACGTTAGGTACATCAGCATTCCAGTGGTAGTAATCTAGAAGAAAGCTGTTTGCATTCCACTGTATTACTAAAAGTTTGGACTAATAATTTTTGGGAGACATGGTAATCTTGAAAGATTTGAGATTTGGTTATTCCATTTGTGATGGATCCTGAAAAGAAAGGATTTCTCTGGTATATAAAGTGTAAAGTTTAACAAAGCTCTTCCTGGAACAGGAAGGCAGAGTGAAACAAACAGTGTTTCTTTAGGGACAGGCTATCTATATTAATGTCTCATTAGCAAAATGAAAGGAGTGCTCTTTCTCTGAAGACACTGCTGCAGCTCATGGATATACGGATGTTTCAGCGGTAAGTGCTTTGAATGTAGAGACATTTTTGTTCGTACCCTTTTAATTTTAAAACAGTTTGCGTTTCATGGTGGCACTCAAATGATTTTTCCAGTCAGTGGCTGGTAATCAATAGAACTTGCAGTAACTGTTGATGTTTAATGATTTTGAATGGCAACTTTAGATTTATAAGCAGCGTTATCTGTGGAAAGTTGAGTTTTTCAACTAACCTGAATTAAAAAAAAAAATTACTACTGTTTACTAAGTTATTAAAAAAATTATCTGGGGAGCTGTATTGAGTCACATTTCAAACAAAAATGCTAGAGGCATTTTTTAATGTAATTACAAAGTGTAGAAGAATGAAGAGGAAGGAGAAGCCTTAATTTAGCAGTGAACTGTGGCAACAGGGACTGTTAATATTTTTGTAATACTTGGTGGGGATTTTTTTTGTCCTGTGGGCTTATTACTCTTCAAGATCTGCAGGTAATTGTGAAAATAGCCCTTGGGAAGAATACATATTTTGTGTAATAGCTTTGTGTAGAAATAATTGTTATAAAATGTTGATCAGGCCTGTTGGCATGCTGTATAAAAAAAGGAGTGGATTCAACTGTGTTAATTTACTGGTTAAAAACTTTTCCTTTCACAAAGGAAGTCTAATGGGGGAGCAGATTACTGTACTTTCTTTGTTTGTTACCCATTAGTGTTTAGGCACCTGGCAGGAAGCTTTGAATACTTTTTTAGATTAAAGTCTGTTATTTAATATACTAAGAAAACATGTATAGAATGGGCAACTCTCTAATGTGATAAAATTTTTGCTTCTTCTAGAAGTGGTTACGGTCCGTTATTTCCATATTTATACTTGAAATGTAAGGAGGATACGTATATTTACATTGTCAGAGGTCTTGCAAAAAAAGTGGTGAATAGAGATGAACAGCTGTATGTGTGTCATTGCAGTATCTCTGAAACAGTTCAATTAAGTCTAACATAGGTGTCTAGAAAACAGAATATTGCATTGCTTAAAGAATTTACTTCTTTTTTAAGAAAAAATTTTTAATTTTAAAAATAAACACTAATGTGAAATTGTCACTTATTGCAATGTAAAATTGGGAAAACTTCCACTGAGGGGGCTCAGCTTCAGTTCAAGGGAGTGTATGTGACAGAAACATTCCTAGTAACCAGTGATTAAGGAGTTAACTTGGAAACAGGAAAAAAATGGTTGTGCTTTTTGTCTTCCTTCTCCCTCCTCCCCCTTGTCCAGTAGTTGTTAATAGAAATTCTGGATGAATCATTCTTTCTGCCTTATTATTCATTTGTTAAGGAAGCATGTTGAAGGCTCAGTTTTGCATGGCTAAATACTTCTCTTGATTGCAAGTTTAACCCATCTAGCTTGTCCAGGAACACTCCTTTTCCTATTTGCCAACAGTGATAGTTCAGCTGAGTTTCTTCCCCACTTTTTTTTAACAGGCAAAACTGAGGTGCTTTTGCCAGACCAGGGAGCTAATAACTAAAGGGTTTTGCAATGGACACTAGCTTTTGATAGCTTTCTGTTTGTCTGTAATCAAGCCAGAAATCCTGTGTTCTGGATTGTAGGATCACATACAGTTGAGGTTGGGGGGGTGACAGTGGAACCCCCCCATAAACTGCTGCTCCTGTTCAGAATTCTGAAATTTCTACTCAGAAAAGAAACAGTTTTTCAAATATTTTACTGTGTGTGTCATTTGTGAGCTGCTTTGTGGTGTTACTGCTGCTGTGTGATTTGTCTCTTGCTAGTAAATGACTTTTTCTCTTCCCCTCACATTACCATTGTGTTCTCACACAGAGCTGCTTCTTAAGTAGAAAGATATAGGAAGTGAGAGAGTAATCTGATTTCATTGTGGGAACCATCTGGATTGGGTTAATTTCTTTTTGTTTAGTGTTTACTTCTTACTAATCAATATTACTATTTTTTTCAATTGTTCAGAAAAGTATAATGTTGCATGTTCTGTAGGAGACTGCGTGTGTAAAATTTGTCTTTAGGCCTAGAAACCTTGGGTTTTAATTTTCTTCTTTTTCCAAAGCGGTGAACTTCAAAGAAGTTAACGAAGAAAACAAGAGAGAACTCTTCAGTGAAATATTTTCTTCCATTGAAACATTGGCATTCACCTTTGGAAACGTGTAAGTTGGAATCCAGAAGGATGTTTTAAGGAGTTCGCTAGAGTTGAATCAAATTAAGACAAAACAACGAAAACTCACTTTCTTTTGGACAAATAATCACTGATAAACTAATTCAAGTTAACTATGTCCAGAGAAATTTTACTGCTTTGTTTGGCTGTTTGGTTTTTTTGGCCTTAACAAGGAAATTGATGATGGTATAGAAATTGCAGGGAATATAAGACTAGTTCTTTAAAAGTTCTACAGACAATTTTTAGAATATTAGAAACCATATCTGAATTTTCACCTCACTAAGCAATTTCAGATCACTGAGAATAAAGTAATAAAGTAACACCATTCTTTGTTTTTCTGGCAGTGTTTCAGACTTCCTTATGGGAGATGTAGACAATGGCTCATCACTGGGACTTCCTGTATCTCGGAGAAGTCGGGTAGGCTAAGCAAGTTCTCTTGGAGTGCAGAATGGTGTTTTTTAAAGGAGATTTTAATTTCCACTGAAACACAGTGCATCGTGGGGCTGGGACACTTGGAGTCTTCTGAGTGTTAAAACAAGGTCAAACCCATAAAAAAAATGCATTCAAGGTTTCAGACACTTAAATGTCTTCTCAGTTCTAAATGCTAGTGATTACTCGATGGGACTATAACTCAAATATGTAAATGGTAACCTGCTGTAATTGTATTTGAGATTTTTGAATTGGTTAAGTCACAAGAACTAAATAATTAGAAGTAAGATACTTGAATTATTTGCATGATGGAGTAACTAAAATACACCTTTTAGACCTAGAAGCTAAAGCTTTAACGTCCTCTTTTTGGCTTTTAAAGACTAATATTCATTAAAAAATAACTTCTTCCAGAGCCCAGTTTGTGCTGTAGCTGTTTTCAACAACAATTCACTAAGAGAACTGAAATAGCACCATGAACTTATGGGTAGACAAAGAAAAACAATAGCGTTTTAAAGTCCCCTTTTAAACACTTCAAGGGTGAGATTAAAAAATGCTCAGTACCAAATTCTGTTATGAATTTCTGTGTATCTAGAAGCAGACTTTCAAGTAAACCTAGCTTGTAACTTTTCATTTTGCTTGGAAAATGCAGTTGATGATTGGTGTGTAAGATAAGCTAGTTTGTAGCAAGAGTAAAAACTTTAGATTATGGGTTTTTTTTAAAAGGCTTCATTGAAACTTACTTAAGCCTTAGTGCTTTTTTCACACAGGCTTGATCATAGTAATGCTGTGCAGCTACAGCTGAGAAGTAGTCTCTTTAAATTTTCACTATGTTTGATGTGAGAAAGATGGATCATCACAGAAGTTCTACTTCTGTAGCTGCTGCAAAACTCATAGCATCTTTTAGGTTTGAAAAGACCATCGGGATCATTAAGTCCAACTGTCATCTTTGTAAACAATAAGGAGGAGAAGGAGGCTACAAGGAAAACTGGTTCCAGAAGACACAGAGGATTAGGTTGCTGATAAAATGTATGAAATAAAATAGCATAGTAGCATAGAAGCCAGCATTTCATGTAACTTAAATGAAATGATTTAAAGAAGTACTATTTCTGCTAATCAGTTCACCAGCAGAAAGAAGGTGCTGAATTTGCCAACACTTTAATCTTGTAGTGGCTTTGCAATGCAAAAATGCTTTCCTGTGGAACAAGATGGTCCCGTATATTGTATTCTGAAGTGAGTGCTTGGCTAAAAGATCACTCTTCTGAATATGGGGGTTATTCTAGATGCTCCAGAACTCACCAGGTTATATTTAAATGCCCTTTTTTGTAGTGTTGTTTGCTTTTCTTAATGTGGAAGGGAACAATTATAAATTTTGGAGCAGATAGGATAGTTTCTTGGCAATTTTTCTTAAATTCTGGTGCATTTTCATTCAGGCAAATAAATATATGTTTAACAGATAAAGCATTTCCCCTTGATTTGCAATTCAGAGACCAATTTGGAGGCCAACTAGAAGTTGAGTGCTAGGAGAAATGCAGAATATTTAAGTAGCTGTATTAACTTTGCATTACTGTAGGTATGTACAGTCAGTGGTTGAATAGAGCAGCTAGCTCTATCTTAAAAAGATTACAGCATAATATTTTGGCAGAATTTAATAGTAAATGCTTTGAGGGTTAATTATGGAGAGAGATTTTGATTGCGTGTTAAGTTAGGGACCTCTCTAACTAAGCTGTTAAGGATTGCTCTAAGGTGGAGGGCAGGAGGGCTGATCTTGCTTCTCTTGACTGCAGGGGGGTCAACATTCTTTAGTTCAGGCATTCCACTTGGAAGCTTAAGTTAAATGGTATGTATACCCCCGCTTAGCAAATGTAATTGCTCTCATTTTAGCCCTTGTAGTACAACCAGAAGTACAAGGTGGAAGCAAAGATATTTCTTAATTAAAAATAGAAGAGCTTTAGAATATATTGGAAGAGATGAGACAGGCATGTCTGACCTTTCATTACTCAACAAGCTATTTGAATGCTATTGGATGCTATGTAGATCTGAGAGCATAATAAAGAAGGATGAAAATTTCAAAATGCATGCAGAGATTTGCCTCTGTCAGGGTGAGAGTTAGGTAATGGGAAAAAAGGCAGAAGACACTGGTTGAAGTTGAGAAATCTATCTAGAAGTCAGGCTTTTTTTTTTTTGCTAGGCTCTTGAGGATGAGTCATTGGATGCTTGACAGTGATGCTGTAATATGGGTCAAGTTCTGATAATATGTTACACAAAATATCTAAAAGTATTTCTCCATGTGCTTGCTTTTAAAACATGGTATTACATAGTTGCAGTAGGGTGAATGTGGATGGAGGAATGAGCATTGATTAGCTGCCATAACCAGACTGTGTGCCTGAAATACTGGAGAGGAGTAAACACTTCTCCGGACTGAAATTATTTAGGTCTTACAGAATAGGAAATAAGTTTTAGGACCAGAACTTGTAAGTGCTTCCTTAGTAAATACAAAGTATGGACTTTCTTCCTTTTCATATTTGTTCTTCTTGAAGAATTGTTTGCCAATTGTTAAAATCTACTTTAAGTCTTTATACCCAAATCAGAAGTAAGTCTAGGAATCTTCAGGCTTTCTGTGCAACTGAATATTGGTCAGTCTCTAAACTCAAATTCTTTTTTTAACCATTTGGTTGATAGACAGCTTTGAATTTCCTGTCTGTTCTGAAAAGGCCCTTCCATTGTACGGAAGTTCTCTTTTATTAGACAGCAATTGTACTAGTATTCCACTTGAAAGAACAGCTCCATTCCTAACAGACCGTAGTTGGATTCTGTTCAACGTAATTGATTAATACCTTCCATGTTTTGATATATGGAAAAGCTGCTTTTGCTGTGAAGCGAACAGTGATTGAGGAATTTTTGTGTGATTTCTGATGTTTATGTTTAGAAAAAAACCCACAAAAACCAAACCTATTTGCATCTCTGTTATTGTGATTTAAGTCCTAAAATAAAATGGCACCAAAATTTAAAATGGAAACAAGCTGTCTTTGTAAAATTTAATGCCACTTTGCAGCTATTTCTTGGCCTTTGTCTTCTGCTTGGTCTCTTCTGTTTTCAAGAGTAGTTTATTAATTTTTTTTTTTTAAGGGGGTGGTGGTTACTGCATAAACCATTCATTTATTTAAATTTGTTCAGTGGACTGGTTTACAGCACAGTCCTGCAAATAGTTCAACTTGCACAATTTAAAGGGGTAGCAAAATGCAGCATGAGGAGAAAAGTAAGGATGAAACCTTTTTATTATTGGATTAAAATCTGCCAGGTTGTACTATTGGTCAGGTTGTCGTTAGCTGTTGTGCCCACAGTGCACACCTGCAAGAAATTTAGGAGAAATCATAACTTTATTCTCTTGAGGAAGAAATACATGATTCTAGTGACTTCTAGAATGGTGACTGTCGTGTATATGACATTAGGTCTATATGAAATGCAATAGTTAGGGATCTAAGAAAAGCTGGAAGTCACTTAATTGTTTAACAAATCAAGTTGATATTTAACTCTTTCCTCATAGCCTTTTAAGCTAGCTGATTTATAATGTTATATAATAATTCCTTGCCATTTATTACATCTCATTTGACAGCTATGAGAGCTCATGGGTATTGTGCCTTAGATGAGAGTGAGTTACAGTACAGTTTATTGCTTTATCTGGAAAAAAAAAAGGGGGGGGACGACACACAGATTATGCCATTTATTTTATTAGCCTGTCAGTTCCAGTGAGAGCTTTTCTTTGCTAACAATGTTTTGTTTGTTGTACACCAGTCTTTCGAGAATCTTTCTGTGGAGTCTGGGGGTTCACTGCATGAAAGGGATGATATTCAAGGTAGGTCGTTCATTTAATATTGATTAAACACCATTCTGTGTTTTTGTCTCCTAAAATGTTATAAGTAAATTGCTTGGTCAGTATTGTACACCTATGCTGCCATTAAAACTTCACTGTAAAAAAAAAAAAAAATCATTATTGCAGAGGTTTTATGCTTTTGTAAGTAACCAACCTGGGTTGATTTTTTCATGGAAAAAAGATCCAAGGCCTTCTGTATGTCGTCATATGACTGGTGTTTTGTTGGGTCACTTTCTCTAAGAAAGTTATGCTGGCCATATGACTACTCCAGATAAAACACTATGACCCTTTAATTTGTTCTAGAACCTCTGTCACTCCTGTTCATAGTCAACTAGCATTAAAGACCAACTCAAGATCAGAGCGGCTTAAGTGTTCACAATTGGCTAATACTGGCTTTGCTCTCAGTGTGTGGTCATGTCTAAAACTCACTTCTTTGTGTTTGGTGCTTTATTTTCAGGACATCTTCGGGCAGAGGAGGTTGATAGCATGCTCCTAAGAAATGATAGTGGAATTGAATCAGCTCTATCCTATGCTAAAGCATGGTCAAAATATACCAAGGATGTAGTCGGATGGGTAGAAAAAAAGCTTAGCTTGGGTGAGTGGCTCTTTCTGGCATTTAATCAGCTTTGTCATGATGAAATTAAATCTGTTGTCAGGCTTCTGTGCTGCAGACTGTCAATAATGTGATTTCTAAATTAGTAGCTGTTCCGCTGAAGTGGACAGAACTATTGCACATTTCCTATAATTAAAGGCCTGTAACAAAGTGAAGGTGGTCCCCTCTGTAGCCTATCTGTCATAGGAGGAATGGTGAAAAAGCATTTAGTATGTGGTACAACTGTTAGTATAAACAGTAACTGTGAATATTTTTTAACAGAAGTGGAGTGTGCTAAAAACTTAGCAAAAATGGCTGAAAATGCTAAAGCTGCTGTTGGACACCAGGTGAGTACCTCTTAGGGGCTTTATTTTAAAGTCTTAGGTATGTTTATTGGATGTCTTGCCCAAAGGTTGAAACTTTGGGCATATCGAGGGATGGATTTTTAAGTTGATACAGAAATTATTTGTACTGTAAATAACTAGTTAAAAAGATGCACTGTATTTTGTCTTCTCATTTCCTATGGGAATTTGGATATATAAATTTATTGTTGTTGAAAATTCAAAATAGCCTTAGTTTTCAAAATACGCTTTTTTCTGACTTTTATGTTTTGTGATTTAGACTTGCAGACTTCTCTTTCAGAGTGTTTTCCTAGTAAAATGAACTGTAGCTGAGAACAGTCATTTTCTACATTTATACTTAACTCTGACTTCCATACACACATAAATACCTTATTAAATTTAATCAAAAATTAGTTTAATTATGCAGACATCTAGAATGTCAGCACATCTCTACCTTACCTAGAACATTAATGTTTTGTTGTGTGTAATTTTAGGATTATATGCCATTCCAATCAATATTCATTAGTGCCTTTCAAAATGATATTGAGAACAATCAACTTTGGCAACAAACAGCTGCTGCTCTCCAGTCTAACAAATTTGTGCAGGTAAGCCTAAAGAAAAAGACTGAAATATTGTTTAGGTTTTTAAGTAGGTTTGAAAAACAGACTGGCAGCATACAAGCCTTTTACATACCCTATTAATGTTTCCTATCTAGCCTCTTCTCGGAAGGAAAAGTGAGTTGGATAGACAAAGGAAAGATATCAAGGAGCTTTGGCAGCGAGAACAGAAAAAAATGGTAGGTATTTCTTTCATATTTAGAAGTATTCAATTTAAAATTCTTCAAAAGGATGAAACTTTCTAACTAGGTGTTACTCCCTTAAATTCACATGTAGAATCTAGGGGGCTTATTGGATGTAGTATGCAACTGTTGATTACATAACATACTTCCCCCTGTAAGAGGTTATCTTTCTATGACTATGTACTTTAAACTGCAGCATACAGTCCTGTGCATAACAGCCTCTTTAAACATCACGTTAAATAACTGCAAAATTAAAATCGTTAGTTCTTTTGCTTTTTTCTTTTCTTGCGTTCTGCAGCAAGAGCTGGAAGCCGCTCTAAAAAAAGCGAAGTTGCTATATATGCAGCGTCAAGATGAGTATGAAAAGGCAAAATCCTGCACTGCTCGTGCTGAGGAGGAACACCTTAGCTCAAGTGGAAGCTTTGTGAAAGATTTCAGCAAACAACTGGAAAAGAAGCGAAGGCTAGAAGAGGAAGCTCTTCAGAAAGTAAGAGACTTTGTTCGTTGCTTTCAGAGTTAAGCCTACACTGCTTTTACTCATGCTTTCGCAGTGGAAGCATTTGAGCAAGTGTTCTGTTTGTGCTGCTTAATTTTATTCATGCTGTGCTCTTTCGGGCTTTTATCGGATATTATGGGAATCTCCCAACTGTAAGCATCTTGTGTGTGGTGTGGGTTTTTTTCCTTGCTTCTAGTATCAAGGCTTGTAGTCCACCAAACCTTTGTACTTGTGTTTTCTCTAGGCTGAAGAGGCCAATGAACACTATAAAGCAAGCATGGCAGAGGTTGAAGAAAAAAGAAATGGTTTGGAAAGCTTTAAAAGCGATGTTCTAACACAGCTTCGGGAGCTTATTTACCAGTGTGATCTTACTCTTAAAGCTGTAAGCATGCTTTTAAAAATATGTTTGGCACAGATGCATAAATCTTGTTAAGACTAAGGGAAAGCCCCATCTACAGTGTTAAATGCCTAAAATAGAAAGTTTTCAAAGGGCAGAGGTCAAGCCAATAGAAAAAGAAGGAAAACTTTCAGTATATTTGTAGTGTTTTCTTTTCTGTTAGGAGTTAAAAAAAAAAAGCTTTGTCTTGAATGTTTTTGGGTTCTTTTTAATGAACTCTTGACTTGCGAGAACCCTGACTATGTGTTTCTTGTAAAATCTCTCTAAGAATATTGATAGCAGTGGTCTCTCTGTGTAAGAGTACAGCTCCCATTCCCATTTTTTTCATTGATGTGCTAGCAAAATGTTTGGCCCAAGCACAGAATGGACATCAGGCTGCAGCATGGAGCCTGCTAGTCTTGATGACAGTCTCAGTTACTGCAGGTTCCATTGCAATTAATTTAATGTGTATAAATAAGCAAAGAATTGTCAAAACAGTATATCGACACACACAGTTATTAAAAAGCTTTAAGAGTGCGTTTTACCAATAGTTGTGTTGTTTTTTAGATGTAACAAAGACAATGCTGGGATGGGGAAGGAAAATTTGAAAACCAACCAAACACATATCTCCAAAAAACCCAAAAGAAACAACCCATAAGAGCAGTAGAAAGCTTAGACAAACTTATCAGTTCAAGCATATCTAAACTGTGAATTATGCAACCCCAAAGCTGAAGCAGCAGCCATGCAGTGTCCCCTTCCCTGGTCTCTGCCTTGTGATAAAATATTTTAGAAGTTTTATGTAATTTAACAAAGAAAACAGTTGGTTAATCTGTTCTGTTGAGATAAGGAGTTTTGTCCATGTCTTGGCTCAAGGTGATACGGAGCTCATCTGGGTTTGGAACTTCAACTACTTTATCATTCTAGTGGTGACTAAAATTCCTTCCAGAGCATAAAAAAATGCCTTTTAGGTACCACTGAACCTTGCTGTCTGTCTTGATCAAACCAAAGTAAGAAGCCACTGGAACTGCCTTTTGCTACCTGGAGGATTCAATAACCTAGAGAGAAGACAAATACTCGTACCTATACTACAGATAAAGTTTTTGCTCTCGACTTTCAGTAATCTTGCTTGGAATCCATCACTACAAATGTTACTATTTTCTAGAATTTTTCTAGTCTCATTGTTTAAATAACTTTCTGTTGGGATATTAATTTGGGTTGAGCAGTATGCGAGTGAAATACTTTTTTTCTTTTTTTTTTTTCTCTGTCAGGTCACAGTTAACCTGTTTCAGCTGCAGCATGCTCAGGTTGTATCTCTTCCAGTTAACTGCCAATCTCTCTGTGAGAGTGCCAAACTCTATGACCCTGGTCAGCAGTATTCAGAGTTTGTGAAAAGTTTGCCGAAGGAAAGTGTTCCTATTGAATCGGCTTCTTTTGAAACACAGAATTCCCAGGTTGATGGGTGAGTCCCTAACTACAGGTGGCATTTGCTTGGCTTAGAATGAAATGCTAGGCCCATGTGTTTTAATAGCTAAACAACTTCTTGGGGGGAATTAAATGAATCTTGGTGTTCTACGCTGCTTTATCATCCTCTATTTGACTCGTCTTTTGATAGATTATATATAATGCTGACATTAACACTTGACTTGAAATTTTGAAGGAGAGTACTGTTTTGTGTATGAAGACTTGCTACAACATTGACAATTGTGCGAGAATTGACGTTACTATTTTAACGTAGATATAGGTTAATATGAAAAACGTACATTTTGAGCTCTGTAGTGTGGTAAGGCAGTAGTAGATGATAATCATTTAGAAAGTCTGAGGAGGTAGTTTTCCTCTTCTGCAGGCCTTGCTATTACAGTACCTTCGTCCATATTTTTTGGCAACTTTTTGGCAGGAAGCATTGCTCAATTTCTCTCATGCTATGTGACTAAAAAAAACCTGAGAGTTCTCATGTCCCTATGTTATAACTTAATTGTTTTCCATCCTGTGTGAAATGGCAGTTTTTACTATAAATCTATTAGATACAGCTAATGTAGAAGTAAGGATTACAAGAGAGCAACTCCTCATGTCAGTATGCCAAATGCTTTTCCACCTTTAACGTGTTGTGAAGTAGTCATCTTGGCACAAAAGCACCAGAATATCCATTCCAATCCGTGTGTTTCACAGTTCTACCGGAAAGTGTCGTCATCGTCTTTCAAAAGGAAACTAAATACAAAAAACCCTAGTGCTTGAGTCAGGCTTCTACCAACAAAAGCCAGGAAATTCAAAGTTAAAGCTGAGATTCTTAGTTCTTGTCTATAAATTTCCTGCCTTTTAAGACTGATTTAGGCTATGTTCATGAACTTTAACTTAGGGTATTTAACTGTGCAGTGCCCTGAGAAACAGATGAGTATGAAATTTCAAACTCTGTGCTCTCCCAGCTATTTATTGCTTAAAATTTATGAGAGTGTGTTTTGGGTTTTTTCCTCCCCTATCCCCACCTTTTGTTTTCTTTGACACATGGCCTTGTGATTCTTCATGTACTTGAACTGATCACTTTTATTGTTTAGGTCTGCAGTTATCTAAGGGAAAGTAGCTTGGACAAACGCAAATTTTAATGTTTTAATTCTTTATTTCCTTCAGCTGAATAGGGTAGAACAGCTTAAGGAACAGCTTCCTGACTGCTAAACTTGGCTAGCAATCTGTTTTATCCACAGGGTGCTTCAGCACTTTACATTAATTACTGTCTGTATCCGAGAGCAGATTTTCACAATGGAGTGACTATAAGCACTCTGGCAGCTTCAACATGTTTTCTGTGCTTTTTTTAAAAGCACAGCATTTTAACACCTCTGTGTTTATAGGTGAATGGTCCTGATGGCTGGGCAGAGATTCTTTTGGAGGAAAGCATAAATGTAGCATGCATTAGCCTCTGAATTACTCTGATCTTTAGATGAACAGATGTGCTGTTTTTTCAGTGTCTGTGAAGTAATGATCATAATACCTTGCAGAGATGTGGAAAAGCTGATTTACAGGGGGGGGGGGAACACTGAGAAATTCTACATACTTAAAAAGAAATTGGTACCCTTTTTTGGGGGGTGTGGTGGGGTGTGAAGCTGCTTTTTAATAATTGCATATCAAATATTGGGGGTGAAGCTGCTTTTATAATTACATATCAAATATACATGTTAATGAAAAGCAATTAAATGAAGCATATTTAATGGACAGGAATTTAAAACCAAACAAAACCAATAACAACAAAACCCCAACATTTTTATTTTTTTCATTCTTACTTTCTTCTACCTGAAGGGTTTTTAATAAGCAGTCAACCAACAGTGTCCATATGTCACATGGTAACTTATCTCAGTGTTCAGGAGATTTTCCTGCTCAGATGTTAGATGATGTGGGAAGCCCAATATATCATCGCTCACAAAAGATTGGAGAGAAAAGATCTTCCAGCAGCACAGATATCCAAGGTAGTTCTTTTGTATTTCATTTGGAGTTCAGTTTCTAAATAAAAATACAGGGGAAAAAAAAAAGATGCTTGATGTCTCACTGTAACACTGAAGGGGTTAAAAATATGTATTTTAAAGTTCACAGCCTATGAAAAAGTTACGTACTTAAGTACAAATGGCAAACTGCCTGTATGTGAACAAGAAAGGTGAGATGTGATTCAAACAGCAAATACTGTCAAGCTCAGGGTACTAAGTTACTTCAATTGACTTTAGCAATTTAAAGTATGTTTGCTCTTCTAAACACTATGTTGATTTCAGATCTTTTGCAAAAGCACAAGTGTCAAGTTTCTGAAGTTCACTTTCTTACATCCTGAAGTTTTTGTATTAATATTTGCTTTTTTCACTATATTGTTTGTTCATGTCACTTTTGCAATATTTTCCTATTTTGAATAAATAGTCTTTAAATAAAAAGAAAACAATATACTTTCGTCCTTGGCACTTGTAATTTGCGGATTTTCTTTTGAAAAGCAATGCGAAGGCCACTGTCATTCAGATCGTGGTCAGTTGGTAACCAGAGCGGAGGAATGTGCAGTGATTCTGAAAGTGCAGGGGGAAGCAGCGAGTCACGATCCATGGATTCTCCATCTGCTAGCCCAGGTACAGCTACACTCACTACTATACTAATTTGAAATCTTTTCTTTGGAATGTTTTAAATTAATGTAGACATGGGTGTTAGTTTAGCAAGTGTTGGACAGGGCCTATAATGAAAATAAATGGTTGAGTGGAACCGATATTTACAGCTTCCTGAAAATTTTTTTTCATCTGCTAGGAGATTTTAAAAGACGACTTCCCCGAACACCTTCCACTGGTACTATGTCATCTGCAGATGATCTTGATGAAAGAGAGCCACCATCTCCTTCAGACTGTGGTAATGTTGTTTCATACCTGAAGTCCCCAGAAGATGCTTTTTGTTGTAGAGTGTGGCTTTTGTTTTTAATATCCTTAAAAGTGCATTAACGAGGCTGTGATTACTAACAGCATTGTTTTTCAATACAGTGTGCATCCACTTGAGGTTGAGAACTGAAGAATAATGTTCAGGTCATTTTACCGAAGCAGTGCAGAATTGTCTTCACACATTTAGATTACCTCTGTGGGCAGCCTTTAAACATTTCTAGTGTCTTCACCTTCCTGAGGTAGAGAGCTGATCCACTAACCATTCCCATTTAAAATTAGCTTCATGGGACTGAGGCATGTAAGGGTATCACTTGGAAACTTTGTGAAATGCACAGATAGGGAGAGTTGGTAATTGGCAAATTGGGAAAAGTGAATCCAAATGTTTAGGGTAATAACTGAGATGTTTACCCTTTTCGACTTAAATAAGCAAGTTTGGTAATGTCTGTCCCAGATATGACCAGACCATTTCTAATTTTCAAACTAATTTTGACTGCATAAAGACAATATTGCCAGAGGTACTGAAACCTGAATAACTGGATCATCAGAAATAGTTCTATGGGATGTCTGCAGTACTTACAAACTAGTTCTGAAATATTTGAGGCACTTGCTCAGTAAAGCCTTTAGGAAATTCTTCAGATAGGACTTATGTCCTAAATGTATAATTTTCCTTCTAGGAACGAGCCTATGGCTAACAATACTGATATAGATCCAGATTTAAAACATGCCAATGCATTAATGAATGTAAACCTTCACTTGGAGTGGTATTGTTTAATCAATAGTTAAGCTTTTAAGAAGCTTTCTGCACAATTAACATTATGTGTGAAGTTTTTATCTGTAGAACAATGGATTTTGGTTCATGGAGTTGTTGATAGCATTTTAAGTAAATTACTTGAAAAAATTAGTCACAAAAAGTGCCAGTTGATTATTCTGTTTCAGAATCTTCCAGAAGATATTTTGATGTTCTCACAGGAGACGGAGAATCTGTGATTCTATTTTGTTTATATGGTTTCTGCTGTGAGCACTGTAATTTTTCCCTGCTGCAAAGTATTCTTTTTTAAATATTTCAGAAACACTACATGCCAAACCACAATGTCATTTTTCATCCTCTAATACAGGATTTTGAAACGCATAGAATGAAACTTTAATGAAGAGTTGCCTGAACTGCAGGGCAGTTCGAATTAAGTATTCTAATATTTTTCACATGCCATTAATACAGAAGAAAACCAAAATACTTAAAAATGCAAACCTGCTTGTTTGATTCCACTTTTTATGTGAGATTATTTGATAGTTAAGGTGTCTGTTATGTAAGCTGTAGCACTGTTTTGCTTTCTTGTGATTTAAATTATTTTAATTACTTTGACAGTTGCTGTTACTTAGAGAATTTGGTGTTCTGCAGCATGATTCTAAAAAATCGGAATAAATACTGAATATTAGATATCTAATATCTCTCAATAGTAGTTATTAGAATGACTGTAACAGTGGAATTCTCTCCAGGTTTAAATGATCTGACATCTGAAACTGCAAATTCTCCAGGACCTTTTAGAAATGCTAATATGTCCAAAGCAGCACAAACACACAAACTACGGAAGCTGAGAGCTCCATCTAAATGCAGAGAATGTGACAGCTTAGTAGTATTTCATGGAGCTGAATGTGAGGAGGTAAGTGGAAAAACAGTTTAAATTGCTGTTTTGGATATATGTTGTGAGTTTTAGAAATTTGGATTGTTTTTATATGGAAAAAGTACAGATTCTTTGTCTTGTAGAGTCATCATGAGCTCAAAGCAAAAGCACAACAGACTGATAAATCATTCTTTTTGCTCCCATATGGGGTGACAGACAGCAGAGATATTTCTTATGGTGGCAGATTGTATCAAACCATGTGGTTTTTTTCCTCCCCTGTAGTGTTCACTTGCATGCCATAAAAAGTGTTTAGAGACTTTAGCTATTCAATGTGGGCACAAAAAACTTCATGGAAGGCTTCACTTGTTTGGAGTGGAATTTGCCCAAGCTGCTAAAAATATTCCGGATGGCATTCCTTTCATCATCAAAAAGTGTACGTCAGAGATCGAAAGCAGAGCTCTGAATGTCAAGGTATGCTCGAGTTTAATTATGAATTATCTTTTTTAAAAAAAAAAAGAATTAATGCTGTACTGTTGATTATCATCTGTGTTTTACGTTTGCTTTTCAAACTAAAGTAGAGTTTTGCTGGCCTGTTTCATTTCAGGGCATCTATCGTGTGAACGGAGCCAAATCAAGAGTTGAAAAGCTTTGTCAAGCTTTTGAAAATGGAAAGGATTTGGTTGAGCTTTCAGACCTGTATGCGCACGACATCAGCAATGTTCTCAAGCTGTATCTCCGGCAGGTACGTGCTTGAGGGGTCAGAAGGAAAACCAAAGTAGTGTAGTGTATTTCCTTAGCACAAGAGGAAAAAACTTCTTTTCAGGCAGTCCTGCAGCAGAAGATTGAGTGCCTTGTGTATTTGCAGTAGGCTGCTTTATTTTCACTTAAAGTTTGGAATAGGGAAAGCTTTGAGGGTACTGACTACTGTCAGAGATAAGCATTCTGATCCTATGATCATCACCATCAAGTTAAGTGCTTTTGAAAAATTACAAATATGTACTCTGCCTACTTTTTTCAAGTAAAAAGGTGACATTGTATACATCGTACCGGGGTACTGTTTTGAGGCACTGTGCTGTATTTTGAGTAGGGCTCATAATTAAAAAAAAAAAAGTCTAATAACATGTTTTCTTCTGGTCTTACTACTTCCTTTGCAGCTGATCTGTTGGCATATTTTTTAGGTAAACCTGTTTGTTTTAAATGCAGGAACAGTGCTAGAATCATGACAGTTAAGACACTTTTAGACAGAATCCTGAGTTAAACCCTATTTGAGGCTAATTATTAGAACTAATTATTTTGGCTTTTATCTAGTCCTCCTACTTCTTGCTTTCATCTAAGCTGAGGCAGTGCAAATAGCCAGGTCAGGTTTGAGGTTTTTGTCTTGTTTTCCTTGGTAACTTTTTTATTATTACCAATCATTTTCATACTGAGAGAATAGTTAGATCACAGTTAAAAATGAGTGTTACATGGCCGAAAATCCAATATTTAAAAAAAAAATAGAATATGGACCAATCTTAATGCCACACTATCAAAGACTGGAAAAATAACTGCCCTGTTTATCATGGTATTTGTGCATATGCGGCGTAACGCTTTCATAGCAATTGCTTTCTTGAAGTCTGTACCTGTATGCTCAGTCTTGAAGCTGTTGCAGCAAGGGGATAGCAAAAGATTTCTGGAGAGATGTTGGTGGGAGTGGTTTTGCTACCTGGGATTGGATTTGACAAACTGGGAAGTTGGACTAGATGACCTTTAAAGGTCCCTTCCAACCCAAGCCATTCTACGAAATTGTGGTTTGAGCTAATAAACAAGGATTAAACAATGTCATCATCTAAGAAAAGATGCTAGACCAGACGAAGTTGAAGAAAAACGGGAAGGAAACAAAGAAGTTAAAATTCAGGCTTGAGTATGTTTCTGAAATGTTCTTATTTCTTCAGCTTCCAGAACCCTTGATTTTGTTTCGGCTTTACAATGAGTTCATAGGACTCGCGAAAGAGAGCCAGAATGTTAATGAGGAATTGGATGCTAAACAAGCTAGCCCCAAATCAAAGAAAAGACAGTCAATTTGTATTGAACTGAATAGGATCATCATTAAAATGAAAGATCTTCTTAAACAGCTGCCTGTACCGAACTATAACACTCTTCAGTACCTTATTGGACACCTTCACAGGTGAGGAAAGACTTTATTTTTCAGCATCAGTTTGCATTTAAACTGCTGCATACTAACAAACTCCTGTACCTTCTCGTGACTGTAGAGGAAGAAGTCACATACGCCTTAAAGACATTATTCTGTTGATGTTTCTTTTTCCAGTGTAATGCAAGAGAAGAATATGAAATGGAAAGAAAGAAGAGCTGAACTCCACTAGTCTTGATTCTCTGCTAGCATTGGGGTCAGCAAATGGCAGCTGCAGGGACCTAGGTGGTGGTTTAAATCAGGGTGTGACCCAGATAAGGCAGTGATTTGGTGGCTATTAACAGAAAATTGAAGCTTGTATCATGGCTGTTAATAACCATTATCCAATTAACATTTCACTTCCTTGTCCTCCAAATGCTGGATTGTACAATGATGTGTAATGAGGATGTACCAAGCTGATGACTACCAATAGAAATGGGTAATATTGGGCCACAGATATATTACGACTTAGAATGAGAATCATTCTTTCCTGCTACCCCAGAAATGCCAGAGAGTGACAAAGAACATTAACCAAATAGGACATAAAAACTGTGTGGAAAGCGCTTAGTCCAAGTTGCTGTTTAATGCAGTCTGCACTGAGGTTTCTGCCTGCCTATTGAACCCACCTTTATTTTTTATTGTCTTCTAACCTCTTGTGACATCAGGTAACATTTAAATATCTGAACTATTTCTGAAGTATTAAGACTCTCTAACTCTTGGGGTTTGGGGTTTTTTTACCCTCTTTATGCAGGGTTACAGAGCAGTCTGATGAAAATAAAATGTCAGCCAGCAACCTTGGTATAATATTCGGCCCAACGCTGATCAGGCCACGTCAAACAGATGCTACAGTTTCTTTGTCGTCACTTGTGGATTACCCTTATCAGGCCCGGGTGGTGGAGCTGCTCATAACATACTACGAAAAGATATTTGATGTTTCATTGAAACCACTTCTGAGCACATATCAGTCTGAAGAAACTGCCATTATGGTCAGAGTTGCTTTATCAGCAGAAGAGAGGGAACCACAGCAGCAGAGGAAGTCATTTGTTGCTGTAAAGGAAGTGAGTGACTTCTCTTGTGGTGCCTGTGCCATCTTAACTTCTGTGTCAAATACTGCAGCGTTCTAGAGCACGTTTCTATTAAATCTTTGCAAAGCTTTTTTTATTAAGGAACGTGTTTCCTCTTGTCCTCGTTTACTTTTGCTCTGACTTTTGTTAACAGGGTGTTCTGGTATCTGCAAGTGAAAGCAGAGTTTCAGAAACAGCTGCATTGGGTTTGGAATCGAACAACAAGAATACAGAAGAACAAAGAGATACGTCTGTAACTGGTTAGTATGCTTTTATTAAGCGTTGGGGTGGGTGAAAAAGCAACCATGGATCCACTAGATTATAGTGCAGGCAACTGTTCAGTTTAGACAGAAGCAAGTGATAAAACCTGCTTACCACTGCTTGATAAACTGTTTTCTTTGTAAGAGGAACAGAATTAAGTCTTTGTAAAGGCTTTCAAGAAACCTGTGCATACAACAGTGGTTTGTTTTCTCCCTTTTTAAAAAGATAATTATTCTGAAATCCACTATGAAGCTGCAAACCAATATCCAGCAATTAACATGTTTTGACCATTGTTTTTTCCAAGAATGTGTATCATTGCCACTCACTGGAACTAAACCAGAAGGCTCTGGGAAGACTAATCCTCGGGCAGAATCATCAGCTACCAGCATTTTGGATATTAATATTTCTGCTCCAAAAAAGCCAGGTTTGCTAACCTAACTGTAAATCTTCTATAAGACTTTTTTCTGTTTGTCTGCCTGTGCTACTACAGTGATTTATTTTAATGTAGGTATGATTTCAACTACTTTATTTAGGAGTAACTAAACATGATCCCTTTTAATTATATTGATTTTCAGCTGATGTTACAAATTCACTCCTGCACGTTAACGGTGCAACACCCTGAAACATACTAAAACTGAAAATATTCAGGGATGGGAAAGCACAACCAAAAAAAAAAAAAAAAAGCTGTTCTTTGCCTGTTTTCTCCTTAGTGTCTTCCTTGGTTACATCTGTACAGTATGTGTTGTACTGCTATTGAAATGCTAACATTTGGTTAGAGTAGGACACTTCTAGTATGTATATAAGGTATACCTAAAAACTGTCACCCTGTTAAATTACCAACTGTCAAGGGATCATTCAGCTGGCAAGTCTTAATGATTTCTCTTACATTTGGTGCAAAGATCCAGTCATGTCTATTTGTGTGTTTCTAGGTGATGCTGTGAGTCCAGCTTCAGAGAGACACAATGACTCACTTCTTTCTCTAGGTGAAAACAGCTTAATTCCTGCAAAACCTAACCGTCAGATTACCAAAGTTCCATTGCGGGGTCCAAGGACGAAACCAGCTACTCGCCCTGTGAGCTTGCCGGTAGACCGAATACTTCCTCCATGTATTTTGAATGAAAGAAATTCACAAAATGCAGGAGCAGTAAGTCCTGAGAAGATTGGCAGGACCGCTACTATCGAAGAAGTTTCAGAGATGAAGGCGCTTCCTGCTGTTAACACTTGCTGCAGACTTCCTTGTTACGACACCCAGATGCTGCGAAAAACTTGGGACAAGCAATATAAACAGTATGATATCACAGCAAGGACAGCAATGATTGTGACTAATGTGCCCCAGGAGAACCGAACACTTGAGAGTGGAACTGCAGGTGCCTTATCTTCATGCAGTGTTGGTAACAATTCAGCTAATGCCATCCTTCCTAGTAAGCCATATTCTGTTTCTGTCAGGTCAGGAAGGACAGCAACAGAAGGGAATGGTCCTGATGCTAATCCTCTTGCTGCCTTCAGGGCACCAAGAACATTGCAGCCACCACCAGGGACATTTTATAAACCACCCTCTAACAAATCAAAACAAAATGAAGAGGGTTCTTCTGCTAAAGCTTGTGCACCAACCAGTGCTAGCTCTGTGCTTCACCAGGATAATACTGTGAAACTGGCTAGGAGCTCTGCACTTCCATCAGGTGATCCTGAACAAAACACAAATGAACAAAGAAGCAGTTCAGAGGATATTCACCACACAGATCTGAAGCCTACTTATCAGAGACTGAGACCAAAAAGGATCCAAGAACTGGAGCACAGGGAAGCTCATTTTGTATAGGGTGCAAATTCCTCTAGGACTGTATGCAATGTGTTGATTTTCACAGTGGAGGCTTCCCTTTGCCCCTTTTATCCTTTGCCTTCCCTTGAGAATCCCACTCTTGTGCCATATTGAAGTTATTTTTATATATGCAGCATTTTAAAGGGGGGGGGGGGGGGCTGGGGAACTGTGAAGGAAGTAAGTCAAACTTTTTGTAGTTCAGTAGCTTTTCATAAAGATTTAATGCATTCCCAGTCTGGATACAGCTAATGTGTTCATTGAATAAGACAGCTTCATTTCATTGTATGGAATGGAGTGCTTATTCATAGAGAAACAGCTATTGCGTGTAGCACTCAAAGGAGCCATTTTTCATAATAAACATAATAAAAATGGAAGGTATAATGTTCACTGTCTTAAGTATAAACCAAAGCTTGTGCTTTGTTCTGTAAAAGCATTTGTTCAGTTTCCTAATCTGTGCGATTAAAGCTTTGCTCCTGAACAAACTTGCATACTGGCCAGCATGGCCCATAATTATGTATCATATGTGTATATTTTAGGCAGACGTAGTTATCCGTTGCCAGTTTTCTATGTTGTCACTATTTTTTTTGTACAGCAAGGATGCACTTACTAAGCTTTACTATTCAGAAGCAGCATACAGTCCACATCTGGTGTATTACGTAGCACAGCCTGTTTCGCTTGGATGCCCTTCTGGAGAGACTATCAGTTGCAGTGGTGCTGTCTTTCCCATGGGAATGAAAAGGCAGTGATTTGCTTGCTGTTGATCAGTTTCACCACCTAACCTGGTGTAACTGAAATGAAAAGCATTTTTTCCAAGTTTCGGTGAAAGGTAAAAACCAAAAATCTGCATTAGTAGGTGCATCTAATGGTTTTCACTTTGTATTAAATGGTTTTTATGTGTACACTGTGTTATATTTGCTTTAAAATATATTAACTTGTTAACATTTTTGTGACTATGGCTTCTCTATCTGGATTTCTTCTAACTTATTAAAATACAGACATTTGGCCCATACAATAGCATAGTACTCCTCTGCATCTGCCTTCCAGGGATGGGGGGCAGCATGCTTTTCTTGATGAGATTACGGTTAGCTTGACCATTTCTCACATACTATACAGTTATTTTAACATGGTACTTGCTACTGATACAAAAAACATAAGGACTCTCAGAGGACTTTTCCCTATACTCCATTCCCTTTGCCCTTTCTCGCAAAATATCCCAAATAAAATTCTGCACTGCATTCAGTGGACATAATCTGATTTAGTTTCCAGAACAAAAGATATTTAAGTTGCAGTGCTGAACTTCTGATTCCTCATCATATCTCCATGGAAGCATGTCTTGCACTCCTGGCAACAGCCATGCTAGCACTGACTGTTCTGGTCATGCTAGGAGCCGTTTCTTTGGGGATCTGCCTCATACTGCAGAAAAGCTGAAAATGCCAGATGCTGCTGTCTGCCCACACTGGAATGGTGAGTTGCATAATAACATAGAAGGAGTGAGAGAGACTTCCTGACATAGATGGGAGTTTGTTCCACTTTGAGAAGGGGAGAGGAAGCCCCACACAACTGGTTAATGAGCAGAAATAGCGTTACTGAAGCATTACAGGCCCTGTAGCAGAAGCTCGTAGCACAGCTGTGCTGATCGGTATAGTTTAGGGCCACAAGATGGCAAATTGATTTGTGCACTACCATTAAATCTATTCTCTCACTATATTTTGAAGTGATTTAGCATATCTTCAGTACTGAATATACTAATGGATTAAGAAATGGTAATAACTGTTCACCTAGTTGGGAGGAGAGACTCCAGTACTCCCCACAGCAGGCTGCTGAGAGGGAGGATTACACGGCATAACTGAGAGAAAAAGATAGACATTTCTTAACCAAGTCATAACACCTGTTTCTACTGGCTGATACCATACTGCTTTTTATGTACTGTCTGCTTCCATGATCTGCTAGTGTGAAAGATTTCTGCCGTTTTAAACGTGCTTCAGGTCTTCGTTCTGTGTTTTCCGCAGCCAGGCAGCTACCGGTGGGCGGGAGAGTGGAGCGCCCTCCTGCATGCCTGTGTGTGGGGATGAGTCGGTGTCTTATGGCGGGGGCCGACACTAGGAGGCAGTGGCTTAAGCGCCAGCGTGCGGCCCTTTTAATTTGTAAATTTTTGGAAATGTTGCACCTTGACATCGAGGCTGTGTTTTGTTTGGGATGGTCTGCTGAGGCCGTCCCCTGCGTGGGAGGAAGGGCCTCAGCAAGGCCTCCGGGGCGGCGGCCGCCTCCCCCTGCTAGTGCCTGACAGCACCCTGAGGCACCGGCTGTGAGTGATCAGCCCCTGCAGCTAGGCCTTATGCCTAGTAGAAAATGCTTTGGATTTCTTTTTGACTGGAAGTGTTACTAATGGACCCTATTGTTTCTTTTGGTTCTGATTCAGGTTTCCCGAGGTCTTGTGTTGGAAATAGCTTCAACCTAACTGAATTGCAGTAATCCCACCCACCTGGCCCTGGTGACAGGGCTCTGGGTCATGCAAAGACCCAGCACCCTGTGACTTGCCCTCTGGGGGGCAAACCTTTCTGTATCAGATTTGCTTGGTAATTGTGTTTTTTGAAGTCGTAATGTACTGCCTCATCCCTCTTAAAGCTTTGGCAGAGTGCTGACTTCCTAAATTGCTGACCTAATTAGTCATGACAGCTGTTTGTTTAGCAGGGCCTCAGTGCTACCAGAACTGCCCTTCTGCGACCATCTTTTCAAACACAGGGTTTCTTCACATCAGAAGAAACACCTTCAGAAATTCTCAGCCTCCTAGTACACACTTCACTGTGCTTGTGCTGGTCATACTGGATATTTGGGAGGATTTTTGTTCAGGAGTCCTTAAACACACCGATTGAGCTGTTGTGTATCAAGCTGAGGATTAAAACAATCTCCTTACAACTGAGCAGTGTTATTCTGCAAGCGCTAACTACTTCTAAGATATGTGTTTCTTTGCAGCCAAGCTGAAGGTTCCTTCAGAAACCTTTCTCAGCACAGCAGTGCTCACACATGAGGTAAACTTTTGTGGTAAGTTTTCCAGATTTTTATTGCTTCTATTTAAGAAGTCCTTGTTTTGCTTGTAAATCCACAAATTCTTTAGCTTCTGTAGGGTGGTAGAGGCCTAACTGAGTTCATCTGACGGCTGACATGAAATGCTCTGAGCAGGCAGCGTGTGTATGTTAACATTGGTAACTTAGTTCAGAGGGTGTTTGTACTTTTTAAGTGACTCCTCTACATACAGAGTGATCTCAGAGCACACAGACTTAATTCTTTTGGGTAAGACTGAACTGGACCATGTGCTTCAGCAGTGTACCTGGTGTGCTGCAGCTGCTAATGCATGGTGCCAGACTGGAGCTCCTCTAAAGTAACCTCCAGACATGTAGTGGCTTGGTGCTGGGTCCTCAGCACTCACTGTATCACTATAAATCTGCTCTGTTTATATAATGATGTTTATATAAACATGTCAACATGGAAGTGAGTTTCACAGGAGGGTGCTTTGGAGACAAGCCTTGCTGCATAAAATGTTCTACCTCCACACCCATTTATCTTCGTAGACAGAGTGTTCTATTTCTAATTCGGAGATGAGTGGGATCCTTGAAAAGTGTTTTCACTCACAGGTAGAGGAAAGAGCTATTCTAAATCTTCAAAAATTTTAAATGGTTGAGGAATGTGAATGCTAGGAAAATCCTCACTCCTCAGCTCCTTATGTTGCTGGATGACAGAACAGTGTCTACATGAAGTAAACTGGATTATGATGGAAGTAGAAAGCATGTCTTCTGAGTTTGCACTTGGTGTGCTTTGTGCTTGTTTAACCACAGATTGGGAAGATTAGCCCACTGCTGGGTTTGCACATGGACAGGATCTGTGTAAGATGCCACATTTCACTGTGTTCGGCACATGGAGGAGTCTGATTTTTACAAATGCACCTTTCAAACGGAAGTTTCACTGGGCCTTTTCTTATTCTTTCTGACTTCCTGTCAGCATTCCCCTTGAACCATTCTATCAGCAACCTTGTGAATGATACAGCTTCCATCAGTTTCTGTGCACACGTTTCTTTGCAGCTTGTTGTTTGCTATCCGTTCAAGTAGTGACGCTTGTTTCCTCACTTTCCGTCACCTTTCTTTAATTTTCTTTTTTTACTAGCAGCCATATCCAAGAAATATTATTTTGACCCCAGCTTGCCAGAATTTCCCATTCTTGTTCTCAGGTAACTCCTTATCAATTTCCTGGAGGGAGGCCTCTGAAACACATTAAGGAAAACTTAACCTTCATCTTGGGTTTTCCCCAGCAGTTTAAGATAGCTGGATACAAAACTTAACTTGGAAAACCCCAGCCTGTGTATGTGTAGTTTTCTTTATACACACATGTAGGTGTATCTGTCTATAAAATATACATTTAAACATGCACACTCCTACTGTTTGCCTTGGTAAAATTGTGTTAGTATTAATTGTGTTAGTTTTCTAGTGAGGCTGTGTCTAGGGACATGGTCTTCTAGATGTGCAAGACAGGATGTCTTGACAGTTAAGAAATTGGATGCTGGTAAGCATCATTCCTGAAAATCAGAAGTATTGACCCATGAGTCCACCCAGTACACATGAGTGCGCATATTTTCAAAGCTATCTTTTCAGGTAATTTTTGAATTCTATTGATTTTAGATGAATCTTTGATTGTGTTGCTGGAGAGTTTACTAGAGATGCTTTTATAATTTGCTGGACAAGCAGCATTTAACTAGATTTGACTTTTGTAGTCAAAAATCAGGACTAAACCTGGAAATAAGAAAACTCATAAAATGCTGAAACTTAAGAGTTGTTAAAACTATGGCATATGTACGTAGGATATATTATGTTGTATAACAGAACACACATACTGTATGACCCTGTGTATTGTGTCTAGGTGTTCATGAATTACACCACAGGAAACTTCTATGTTCTGTGGTATCTGTTGTAGGCATAATGCAAGAACTATCACCAAATCTGTTTCCACACATGGCTTTCAATATGTTCTGATAAAGAAATGGAATGCCTCCTTTTCTGCTGC